CACACAGAGGTAAACATGAAAATAGGGACTAAAATATTCGCCGCAGATGGAAAGAAAAAGCAAAAAAATGGAATACACGATGACAGATGCTGTGGATGACATGATTTTACCACACCTCTCCAAAGTTGCACGCAAAGATACAGAATCCACTAGCTCTAGCTCAAGATTCAATGTTTGTGCTGCAGAAGGTGATGAATCAGCAGAGGAGCTTGTTGAAACAGTAAGAGGTGTTTTGAAACATAAAGATTCTCTAGAGCTTGCTGCAGAAATCGATGTACTTTGGAGTGCAATGGCCAACAACTTGCCGGAATCCACCGTATTTTGAGTGACGGTCGCTGATGTGGTAGATGAAGACATGGCAACTGATATGGCCAACAGATTGATACATGTTTCTGTTCTGAAAGACAGATGATGCATTAGCTAAGTTGTTTGCAAATCAGCATGAAAATGAGGCTAAAATGAATGATGTATTTTAAATTCAAAAGGTCAGCACATAAAGGAGTCAAAAAAGGATTTTGACTATTCCAAGTCGTTTAACAAAATATTTGCTCGCATCCTCTCTCTCTCTCACTAGTTTTGCAAAAAATACAATCTCTCTCTCTCCACCACCACTAGCATCACCATTGCCACTACTGCTCTACGTCCACTACTGGCCACCACTATTTTACCAGTCACTCCACCAACATCACTGCTTGGCCACCAGCCGCTCCACCACTACAACCACCACCTCCTCCACCATCGCCACTGCCCCCACCGCCTAAACCCCACTACCACAACAATTATACCATACCATCACTAAGTCACCACCACCACCACCACAGCCACCACCACCACAATCATTGTACCACTACTACCATCACACACTATCATCACTACCCCACCACCACTGCCTACCTGATGCCACCACCACCTCCACCAATCTGCCGCCACTACCACCACCCTATCTGTTTCACCACAAGGACCAACATCATCCAATCGCCACCACCACCACTGTCACACTGTACAACAGGCCCACAACCATTATGTCATCACTATGACTGTTGCCACCACCATTGCACTATATAATAGCAATTTATAGCTCAAATTCTAAAAATCAAACACCCATAGAGATAAGTGCTCAAAGTTGCCATTTAGTCATTTATAAAATTGGAAAAAAAAAAACCATTTGATTAAATTTTGTGATCAAACGGTCCCTAAGATCTTAAAGACACAGGGAGATTCAAATGTGATCACAATATGATAATCCAAATCATGGGCTACGAGTTTGGTAAATGAATCGACTATTGTAGAGAGGGAACTAAAGCAATCTGATTGTTTTTTTTTGGAAGCTAAATAAAGCAATCTGAATTGGTTTATAAGGATGGTTAATCCGTAGTTTTAGTAAGATTTCAAAACCAAGTGGGATGAACTATTTAATTAAAATTTTTGAATGTTGATCTCGATGGAGAGGTGGCCTGCATACAAGGGAAACTCATGGATGACCACCACGGAAGATCAATCCATTCATCGACACAAGAATGTCAAGATACCCACTAAACATACTCTCTTTAGTTAAGGTTAGTTCTAGTGAGGCACCTTCTGATATTTAACTTTTTAAAACAAGATAAGCCAAAATCAAAGAATTAAAGGGAGGTGGAAATGCAAACCTTACTGCAAGCCTAATAGTCCAACTCCGGGAGAACTGAATTTTTCCCAATCCAAATGATAATCACATCTTAGAATGTATGGAGAATTAATAAAACTAATAAATTCCAACATTAAAGACTTCATACACTCTAATAATCCCGATATTATAGTCAATGAAACCAAGTACAACAAATTTCTCCAAAATTCTTACTTGAGTTGCATGTTCCCTATCAAACTTCTGGTAGTTATGAGAATGTAATGGGGGTGATGTCTAGGTTCTATAAGGAGATGGTCTTTCTGTCTTTAAAACTACACCGCAGTCTATACATCTCTTGATCAAAGACCAAACTTTGAGCTTTGAAGGAATCATCTCAAGGATATATGTGCAGACACCCACTTGAAATTTTGGTCAAGGGATTTCCCAAAACATTTAGCCCTAAACTATAGGACACATTAATCTAGTAAATCCTAGTACTCAACAACTAACCTATAGTCCACAATCCTTAGGATCTCAAATCAGACCCCAAAAATGAGTCAAGGACTGGACCGGACCTGCATCAGAACCATAGTTAGCAAGTCGAGGATTTTCAATAAATCGGCTTACCTTAAAATCGGTAAAAAATCTTTTTTATTTTAAAAAGTCGGATGAAAAAATTGGATCAAAAAATATGGATCAGCAAAAATACTTCATGTAAAAATATTGCTAATATATCGGACTAGGCTAAAAAAATCGGATAAGTTAAAAAAGATCACAACTACTTCATACGAAAAAAAAAAATACACGATATAAATTTTCATATTAAATAATTTAACAAAGATCACAACTACTTAAAAAAAACAAAAAAAAGTACGCCATATAAATTTTTACATTAAATACTTCAACAAATATCAAATCTACTTAAATATCAACATACCAAAAAAAGGCATAATTTTTTTTTTACAAATATCAAATCTATTATCAACATACCCAACATACACCATATAAATCTTCACATTGAATACTTCAACAAATATCATATCTACTTAAATATCACCATACCCAAAAAAAAAAAGGCATTACTAAATATCAACAAATATCAAATCTAATTAAATATCAACATACCCAAAATCTACTTTAAAAACCCAAATCTACTTAAATACTTTAGCAAATATCAATATACCCAAAAAATACACAATTTATTTTTATCATTAAATGCTTTAACTATGGTTAAGTCACTTATAACTATGGTTAATATAAAGGTTACTTTATACTTTATATAGTTGTTTTCATTGAAAACCGCATCTTCAAAAGCATTTGTGAGCTTGAAGACTTCTGGGAAAAAGATGCAGCAAGACTTTGAAAGACCTGAGAACAGGAAGAAGCTCGATCGAACTCTCTTCTCCCCCGATCTCACCGATAAGGAAGCTCGACAGAATAGCAAGGTCTGTGGAAGACCTGCGTTTCATTGAAAACAGGGTATGCTTCTTCAAAATTGGGGGATGGGGATTTTGCTTTGTGAGTTTGGAAAAAGCTCAAAATTGGGGATGGGGGTTTTTTCTGTTAGAGAGAGAAAATCAAATGGGGTTCTTGGGGATGGGGGTTTTCAGGAGCATGAAGATTATGAAATTTGCAGGAACATGAAGATTAGGTTTGTTGATGGAAATAATACATGTTTTCAGGAACATGAAGATTATGAAATTTGCAGGAACAAGGGTTTTCTCTGTTAGGATTTTTTTTAACGGAAATAATATGTTTTTTTAGAAATTACACATATCAGGAATTTTTTTTTTCTTTTCTAAAAAAAATACAAGTAAAAATGCATGTTTTGGGGCCCTTTTAATTCGTTCTCCAAAAAAACGCGTTTCTAAAGTTTTAATGAAAAAAACGCGATTTTTTGACGAACTTTTCAAAAAAAAGTAGTTTGAAACGCTTTTCAAAAACACGCCGATTTTTCAAAATATCGGCGATTAATCGCTGATTTGCTAACTATGATAATAACACAGCACAGAAGAGTCCGACACAGATTGGAAGAAAACTAAGCGAAAGATGCACTAGCAACACAAAATGTGTCGCTAGGGCCAGAAGGCCTAGCAATGCAAAGCGAGTCGCTGTTTGATTCTAGCTCCAAAAAATTCTGGAAAATTCCAAAAAAATTGATTTTTTGTAGTCCAGGTTTCTAAAACTTTCTAGAAACAGCTTTGACTCTGATTTTGACCCAATCTAAAAAGAGAGAATTGGACTTGAGTAAAAACGAATTTGGGTAGTGTGAAAAGATCTTTTGGGAGACTCCCTTGCATTTTTTTTTTTTTTTTTTTTTTATTTATTTATTTGTTTTGGATAATTAAGTAGGGAAGACAGGCCCTTTTCTTTTTTTTGGATAATTAAGTGAGGAAGACATACCCTTTCTTTTTTTTTAGATAATTAAGTGGGGAAGACAGGCCCTTACCCATTTTTTTCAAAAAAAATTTGGGAGTTATATTTTGAAGTGTCAATTGGGGATGTCATCAGTAGGAATGGATACCACGATGCGGTAATTGGGTGTGGGGGTGTTACCACCAGAACCTCAGCCCGTTTCCTAAAAGTGATATGTCAATGGGGATTTGGGCCCCTAGCTTTTGGTGAGAATAAAGTTAGAGACCTCATTATGGAGCTCGGCAATACTACTTCATTATGGAGCTCGGCAATACTACTGCCAAGGCCATACCATTCTCAAAAAAATAGATAAGTCATTGGGAATTTGGACCCTTACTTTTGGTGAGAATGGAGTCAGAGACCTCTTCATGAAGCTCGACAATACCGCCAAGGCCCCAAGCCATTCTCATCGAGTTCAAGACCTTTTATGAAGGGGTCCTTTCTCCCTTGCATTCTCAGAAATGGGTATATTTTTTCAACGTTTGTTATTATTTTTATTTTAATTATACCTCTTTGTATCAGTAACCCTAAATCCTAATCAAACCCCTCTAACCCTCCACGAAAAACCTCCTAAAATCACAAAAAATCATTAGAATATCTTTGAAAAATCTCTTAGGAATTCAACAATAAAAAATCAGGGAAAATTCTAAGAAAATACTCCAAAAATCCCTTAAACTAGAGAAAACTTCTACAACGCCTAGAATTAGGATCCTAAAAGAAAGAGATCTAAACCCTAATTCCCTACAATCCTAAATTCTCTGCAATTTAAAATCTCTAAGTCAAAATCCTAGGAAATCAAATTCAACCAATTCTTAAGAAAAAGAGAAGGCATCTTTTGGTGTAAATTAACCTACTGCCCTAATACAGGCCCCAACTCCGGGTTTTCTTGAAATGCTTATTTTCTTCTCTCTTTTGTTTAATTTTTAGTCCTTTGATTTTTCTTTATTTTTATTTTCCTGCTTTCGTGGTTTCTTTCCTCAGTTTTGCGCGATTTCAAGCCAAGGCTGTAGGCGGTTCTTAGTGAGGGTTGACTCATATAGGTCTTTGAACCGTAATTCGATGGACCTCAGCTATCTCTATTGAAATTCATTGCTTAAGTTAAAAAAATCAGAGGTGGTGTCTTGCAGCATTCTCCGGGATCCTGGCTGTAAACAGTTTGGCACCTGCCATGGAGCAGGTCAAGCTTGAGATCATACAAAACCCCATCGAAAACAACCCTGAAAATATGTTCCACGGTCGCTTTCTAGCAAATCAAAGGCTAAGAAAACATCCAGAAAAGGCATGTCTGAGGCCTCACACAATCCAATGTTGGGTTGTCTGTGCTCAGCAATGCGTATCACTTCGCTAAGAAATTTAGCTCCCAGATTAGTTCAAGACTTTTTTTGACATCCGCTATTTTCTTTTTCCTAATTTTTCCTTCTTAGTTTCCTTCCTTATTTTTACTATTTTAATCAAAAAATAGGTAAACAAATAAATAAATAGAGGATAAGGATTATTTGCTTCTTTTCTCATCATAACTATGAATTTCTGAATTTCTACTTTTAGTTTATTTCCTTCTGTTGGCTGATTGCTTTACTTCTTCACACACATACGCCTGTGCACCTTTCCTTGCACAAAAACACCTTCAAATTTCATTTTCAAAACCTTTTTTAAAACCCCCAGTATTGGCATTCAAGTCGTGAGGGATCCAAGCTTTTGTGAGGCGGACGATTGAGGATTGTGCAACATTCACGTTAGTGCCCATCCGTAGTTTCCTAGTCTTAAAAGCAACCCACACATAGACCCTCACCCCACCTTTCATTGGCATTGTTGGTACCCATCAAAACCTAGCCATGTTGTCAGCTTTTTCCTTAGTTAGGAACCCACCTGAATTTTAATCTACCTGTAGAAACTAGGTCAAATATTTTTCAAGCCTTTTCGTGTGGTGTTTTGCTTGACCCAATCATGGTTAGCTTTGTTTGTGTTTGATCTGGTTTGTCTTTTGTCTTAGATAGGTCCGAACCTTTGGACTAGCATAGATTAGGTGTCATGTCTAAGGATAAGGTCAATGTAAGACCTGACCCTATGGCTTCAGTCCAAAGGGCACTAAAATTCTAAATTTTTTAGATTAGGAGAATGGGTTATGGGGAGAAACATCCCTCAAGCAATGGAACATGGAGGGCCACTGAAATTCTAAATAATTCTTCACTTCAGATTTCATAAGAAAGAAAACTAGCAATATAACATCCATTGAAAAGAGGATGGTTCCATTGTTACCAGGAAGCTAGATATTGTCATTAAATTTGTAAATTACTTAAAAGGGATCCCAGCCAAGCACATAACCTTCACCAACAAGCCTTGAACTTGAGGGAGACAAGGTGACTGAGGATGAAAAATAACTTAGTCAGTTTCAAAGGAAGAACCAAGAATATGATTATGAATATGGAGGTATCAATCTTGAATAGCTTTCAAGCGATTTTCTACCAAACCTACTGGGACATTATAGCACATACTGTCTCTCTAGCAGTCAGTGACTTCTTCAATAAGAACAAGCTTTAAGGGGAGGGATAAACTCAACATTAATCACTTTAGCCCCAAATGGAAGAGCTATAAATGACATCTCAAACTTATGACTGACAAGCTTATTCAATGTCATCTACAAACTCATCAGCAAGTTTCTCATGAAATCACTGAATCCCATTTTGCAGTGTCTTATTAATGTACTTCAAGGTGCTTTCCTACCTGGCATGAAGATACTTAATTGAGTCTTCTGGTGTACGAAAATATCCACCAGTGGCATAAGAAGTCACTCAAATCCATTTTTGGCTTTAAGTCTTTAACATGGACTTGAATAAACCTTTGATAGAGTCAAATACCCTTAATTTGAAACATTCAAATCCCCTCACAGGCCATCAAATGGATTGAACTATGAATAGGCTGCCCAAGATACTCCATAATCCTCAATGCTTCCACTGATGGTTTTTTGAAGGAAAGCGTGGTCTAAGGCAAGGAGACCCCATTTCTCCGTATGTCTTCATATTAGCTACAAATAGATTCAATACAATGCTTATCAAAGAAAAATATAAGGGAACTTTTTAAGCACCAATTTTCTCATGAAGTCCGGTATAGCTCTCGCATTTCCTATACACATAAGATATACTAATATTTAGTAGAGTGAACTTGGATAGTTGCACATCACTCAAGAATACCTTCCAGAAGCTCGAGATGGAAAGTGATATGAATATGTCTAAAATTTCCTTACAATTCTTCAACACACCAAGAAAATTAAAAATGAGAATAAAGTCAGTTCTGCTCTATGGTGAGCAAAACTTCCCCTAAAATAGGATTACCACTTTTCGAAAGGAAGCTATGCCAGTTACATTGTCAGCTTCTCCCAGACAAACTAACTCCAAACATAGGGAATGACAATCCAAAGCATATCATATGCCAGTAGAGTCATTCTCAAGTCCATTGTTCTTAACTCCATGCCACATTATCGATGCATAGCCTTCCACCTCCCCAAGGACATCAAGCATTTCATAGAAAAACTTCAATAAACCTTCCCAGAGAGATATGCTATTTATCAGAAGGTCCAAAAAAGTCATCAAATTGCATCAAAAGTTGTAAATAATGTATTTTGACCTCTTAAGTACATTATTAAAGCATAATAAAATGGAAAAAAGTGTAAGCATACGAATTTGAGTCACAGATATGCTATTTAAAGGCCCAGGGTATTTTGAATCTAAACTGCCTATGATTCAACAAATGTTTCTGAACTACTTCTCATTTAAATTTGATCCATACATGTATTCCATCTTTTTCTTAGTTGCGGAATAAATACTAAACCCACCAATTATGAAATGCCTTAACAATAAATTCTTCAAGAAAACAAATTATATATCTTGACTTTCAATTGGTTTACACAAGTGCGCACACAAATATATTTGTCGTATAATAACAGGCAGAGTAACAAAATACTGAAGAGATTGAAACAACCATAGGGAAAGTGCCTAAGATTGGGTTACAATCCAGCTGATTCCAAAACAACAAATTTTATTATAAAAATGAAATAGTAAAATGACAACAATTCATGATCATGTTACCTTAAAGGATTATGTTGGGATCAATGTTGGTAAGAGGTGAATATGTATATCTTGGTTGCCTTCATAAAATCCCTATACGCACAAGAAAAGGAGAGTTACAAAACTGATTAAATTAATAACGAACCTCAAGGAAGCATATCACTAGCATGCTACAAATCTTCTCAAGCAGTTGAAAGCCCCCCTTTTTATGCTTCTAATCATATTTAATTATAAGATCCCTTTTTTGCAATTTTGATCATATAATGGGAACTGTTGTTAAAAAAAATTAATTTAGCTGTATAAAAGGAAGACAATATAAGTAGTAAAGTTTTAAACGACATCATAGATAATGGATTGCAAGTCAACCCCCAAAATCTTGTAACTTTAGCCTCTAAGAAGAAAATAGAAAAAAGGCAGGTTAGTTTCTCATCTACAAACACAAAATTTAATAGCCCAATATGTCATCTATATCATCAATGTAATAAATTACGACTTTTGGCCATGGCAACCTTTAATATATAAATGTTCATTTATTTGCTTAAACAAGGCATAAACTGGATTTTTTTTTTTTTTTTGACAAGGTTACATAGTAATGGAACTTGAGACGTTGTGCTATAAAAACCCAGCCTCTACCGTCTTGACCCAAGCCCAATTCTTAAGGCGTGAACTGGAATTCTAATTTCAAACTCAACTTTCAATGATCAAACTTCAATATGATTAATAGCTCCCCATGTCACTTACCCTTACAAAACAAGAAAACAGTGTAAAATTTTTAATTAAGTTAGCCTTTTGTTTTTTAATTAGATTCTAACTGTGTGGTTTCATGCCCTTCAGTTGGATTTATTCTAGAAGTGTAGATGGAGTACTAAAATCCACACTTCAATTGCATTCATACTAAAAGTCCTGGAGTAATAAAATTCTCTGTTTAAGGTGGGACCACTTCGTGAATGTACAAATTAATACTTTAATACTTCAATATAATTATTCATTTACCCAAAAAAGTTTATAATAATTCAAATTAACCATGCAAAAACAAAACCAGAAATAAACTTACTTGTATGGTTCTTCCCCAACAGATCTCTGAATTCCATCAGGTCGATCATAGAAGAGAAGACTGTGAAGTGGAGAGATTTCCTTGCCGAACATGTGAGATAGCCTCCCAAAAAACTCCTCATATGAGCAAAAGAGGGAAAGATCAATTGATCGACCGATGATGTCATTATAAAACACCTTACAAAGTCTGACATTAGCTTCCTTTTCGGGTTTGTCATTCGAAGTCTCTTGAGGTTGCACCATGCTTCTGGACTTTTCTGACGGCTTAAAAATATTAGATTTTATTGCCACATCATTGGAACCACTGCCAGGAAGCTCAGTGTCACACTTCTTTGGCAGATTCCCATCACTTTGAGATTGGTAGTTACTATAACCTTGTGGAGAAAAGCACTCTAATGTTGGTAACATGAGAGGCATACCAAAAGAATTTTGTTGGTTACTATGATTGTCACAGAATGTAGATTTATTACAGGTTTGATTATCTAGGGAATCGGATGACAAGGCTTTGATAATTGGATCCTGCCTGGCTTCCTGAATGGTAGTGGTAGAACTGTTAGATTTAAATTGCCTTTTGTCAATGTGCAACCCCATTTCATGTTCCTTGTAAGTTGAAAGTTGGGGGCCAAGTAAGGACTCAAATTTCTCGTTTTCTGCTACTGTTGAGGGTTTATCTTGTTCATTGTATAGCAAGGGACTAAGAACTTTCATGGATTCCACTGACCATGGGTTGACTCTCCGTGTGCTGGATCTATCCGAAGCAACCTGATAAAAAGAAAAATAGGGAATCAGAACAAAATATTAGGAACCAGTGAGATATTTTATTTTCTAAATTATCAAGAGGTATTTGTGTTAACATGTGATAATGCAGGTTAAGTACATTTCATGAAATGAAAAAGATATCATGACAAATCCCATCTAACAAACTATTTTATCATCCTGCATAATGCAACAGAGCTAAAATCCTGTAAAGCACTCAAAACTTTATGGCCACCAAACTCAGGGCATGCAACATAGACAATTTTGGGTTGCCCCATTAATTAAATTCAGTGGTAAAGAAAAAGACTTTAATGACCATGACAAATCAACCAAAAACAGAAGAATGTTGATACAAACATAAAGAATCAAAGAACAAAATTGGAGTCGGTTATTGGCTCAAAAGACATGAGAATATGTTATACAACAATACAACCAACCTTGATGATAATAAACAAATAATAAAGAAATACAAAAAAACAAAAAAATCAAAGACCTAGGCAAATCAGCCAGAAACAAATAGAGAGGCTCAACAAGACTAATGGAGCAACACCAAGCTCATACAGATAGATATATAAAAAGCTAGAAAACATAAAAAAAAACCCCAAACTTAGTTTAAACCAATGGGTAGACTTAACATTGAGCTAGAGTACAAGTTTACTCATGAGCCAGACAACATGTCAAGGTGATTTGTAGATTGAAAATTCTCAAATCATATTTATTTCTATCTAAATAGGATAATCTAATCAGCGAGGTCTAAGCGGTCCACGACCCCTTCAGGCCGATGTACCAGACCAGACCTGCAGGTGAGGGGGATCCAAATTTTGATTGTGGACATTGTATATATTCCCATTCATAAAATCAGATAAATTCACATACCTCAAGAAGGCCCCATGGTGAGCCCGGCCACCGATCTGGATCGACAACAGACACTGACAACACAGACCCGGTCACCAAACCCTTAACCCCCTCCACAGTCATTCTGATCGTGACATCAGGCACCCAGCTCAACTCAAGGGCCATATCCACTATATGTCTCTCCACGCAGAATGCAGAGCCCCTATTCGGATAATAGACCACCTGAAATGGATGTCCGCTTGCTGCGTGCTCTGCTGCCCTCACGACATCCTCCGGTGGAAGCCAATGTGTTCGAAATTGGCTCACCTCTGCCCTCCTCCTCAACCCCACAGACATCATCCCGTCATTCCCACGAGCAAACACAACAGTGTCCCCACTCGCTAGCCTCTTTTCATCCACAAACTTGCTCCACCCTGTTGTTAGGAGGTGGCGTTTTGGACGCCCCCTGTAAATGTGTCTGAATTTCCATGCTTTCCCGTGCACATCCTGCATGACCAAGTCTTGTTCTGGATTCTTGATGGACTTGTCAAGCTTCGGGAACACCGACTCAGCCATTTGGCTCAGCACCGAGAAGCTACCCCCATTGTTTGAATCACTCGGTGTCAGCACCTTTGCATGCGAATCGATCTCTGCAAGGTCCGCAAAGAAATCTGTTGTTGCTGGCTTCTCTCGGATTGAGAAGGTATCAGGGACGAGGGAGAGGACCGCAAAGACCTCATCAGTTTGGTGGCTGGCAAAAAGCCGGACATCATAGACCAGGCAAGGGATGCAGGGTGGGAAGTGTGGGCCATTGGGGAAGTTGGGGGGCGAAGAGGCTTGGGCAGCATGACCCTGCGGGAAGTAGTAGACAAGTGAATTTGGGGACGGGACTTTGGCGGTATTGCCGGCAAAGGTGCGCCACAGATTAGCAGGGACCAACGTTCCCGAGCTCGAGTCCATCTCTGAGAAAACAGGAAGAGGCTGTTAGAAGAGGAAGAGCATCTAAAACAGGCTGTTACAGAGTTTTTTCAAGAAAAAGAAGAGCATCCAGACAGTTCCAGAATTATGAAGTTAAAAGTGGTTAGAGAGTTTCTCTTTCTAGAAAAACGAAATTAGAGGTTGCTTCTCTATCTAGATTGATATAGAGGGACAAAGAAGAAAATATTTGGAGCTTGATGGGTTCTTTCTTTCTCTTCGTTGTTGAGCATTCAAGATATTTATTTACAGAGTTTTTCAGAAAGAGGAAGTTGCAGGTTGTTTCTCTCTATAGAATGAGAGAGTGCAAGAAGAAAAGATTTGGAGCTTGATGGGTTCTTTCTCTCTCTTCGTTGATGAGTATTCAAGATATTTATTTACAGAGTTTTTCAGAAAGAGGAAGTTACAGGTTGTTTCTCTCTCTAGAATGAGAGAGTGAAATAATAAAAGATTTGGAGCTTGATTGGCTCTTTCTCTCTCTTCGTTGATGAGCATTCAAGATATTTACAGAGTTTTGCAGAAAGAGGAAGTTACAGGTTGATTCTCTCTCTAGAATGAGAGAGTGAAAGAAGAAAAGATTTGGAGCTTGATCGGTTCTTTCTCTCTCTTCGTTGATGAGTATTCAAGACATTTACAGAGTTTTTAGAAAGAGGAAGTTACAGGTTGTTTCTCTCTCTAGATTGAGAGAAAGAAAGAAGAAAAGATTTGGAGCTTGATGGGTTCTTTCTCTCTCTTCGTTGATGAGTATTCAAGATATTTACAGAGTTTTCAGAAAGAGGAAGTTGCAGGTTGTTTCTCTCTAGATAGAGAGAGAAAGAAGAAAAGATTTGGAGCTTGATGGGTCCTTTCTCTCTCTTCGTTGATGAGTATTCGAGATATTTCCTTTCTGAACGCAACCCTCTCTCAAACCCGAACAATAAAGGCAATACACACACAGATACGAAAGAAGGGAGGCCATAGATTAACTTTCTCTCTCTATTGTAAAAGAAGAGAACTTGAACCTTCTCTCTCTAGACAAAGAAAAAAAAGACGGACAAAAAAAAGGAAGAAAACTCGAACTTTCTCTCTCTGGAATCGAATTTTCTCTCTCTAGACAAATAAAAAAAAAGCAGGAGGAAGGCAATTCAAAAACTCGCTCTTTGCAGTGAATGTAAGGAGAAGGACAAGCTCGAAACTCGAAAGGCTTTGTTTCTCTTTGAAATATTGCAGTCGCCTTTGAGGGGCAGGGAGACATGGGGTGTAAGAGGTTTGGATTGTAGAGAGAGAGAAGAAAAATATAGGAACTTAAGAGAGAGAAACCAAGAAAAGATAGAAATGGCGGGTGTAAGAGATTTGGATTGTAGAGAGAGAAACAAGAAAAAGATAGAAACTTAGAGAGAGAGAGAAGGAAAAGATATAAACTTAGAGAGAGAAAGAAGGAACAGATAAATATGGCGGGAAACACAGAGAGAGAAGGAAAAGATGGAAATGGGAAAACGAAGGGCTTCAAATACAAATAAAAATTCCTTTTCAGTGAGGCCCAAATATTTTCCACTCCCGCGGGAGTATTTTATCCATTTGGTCCCTCATACAAAACCCACAATGCGAATTTTCTTGGATCTTAAATTTTGGGGATGCAAGTTTTAGAACATGCAACTAATCTGGAAGGAAAAACTATAAAAATAAATATATGTTCCCAAAAAATAGGTACCCTAAGATTGCACTGGAACCATCTAATTTTTTGAGAAAATGATCTAGATGCTCAAGAAAAAATATACTATAAACATCTAGTCATGGTTATATGGATACCAAATTTTAAACTAAAACAAAATCTAATGTAATTATTAACCCAATGTAAATATATAGTATGCACCTGAGGGAGCATACTAGACGACCGGTGAGAGCACAGGATAATTCCCGAAAATTAGGATAAGTATGCAAGAGAAAATTCCGTGTTTTCGAAAAGCAAAATATATATTTTATGTCAAATGTGATGGGTTCGATTTGAGCAACTGGTAACTGCAATTGCAAATTGGATATATCTTTAGTTTTCAAACATGTAATTTTTTTCCTGGTTAATTCAAAGGTATAAATCGATCAATATTATGGGAAAAGTTTATATAAGTGCGAGAATCTAAACAATCAAATTGAGTTGCATCTCAAAAATTCATTAAAAATGATTGTTTTGATGCTGAAAACCGTGCAATTCTATCATCTCAACCACTCAAGATGTATAGACACAAGAAAATAAAGTTTTTAACTATTGAAAATACTGCATCTTGTAATGCATTACTTGGAACGGCAATTTTAAAGTTTTCAAGTTTTCATAGATTTGTGCGATCTACACTACTTTTTAACTTTAAATTTTTTTAGAAATAAAAATTTATTTTTAGGCCATCACAATATATATATATATATATATTAAAACAACATATTTGGGTACTATTTAAAGGTGCGCCCTATTTTGATTGTTTAGAACCTCGGCCTTGTACAAACCACAGCACTATATTATTGGCTTTGATTCATGTAATTTTCTTTCCCGGTTCGAACTTGAAAGATCGTGTTGGAAACTTACTTTCAAATAAAAACAGTGGCAAAATTTCAACCAACACCTTGACTTAGCAAGCCCAATGTCCAATTATGAAACATGTAAACTGTTGTTTGTTGTTATTTCACATGAAAAATTGATGAGATTGAATGCCTATTTGGATGATGGTAGATCTTATTGGGAATAGACTATTTTGTTTGAATTTGATACTATGCATAATATTATTTTGATAGTCATTTAACTTTTTGGTAATTTTTTATTAATTTTTTATTTTTGGATAAACGTGTGATATTCAGTAAATTATTTTGAATGAAGTAAAAATAACTTTTAAATAATATAGACTTATATGTAAAACTGTATATAAATTTATCTTATATAATTTGAGGAGGATGCTAGAAAATAGATAATTCATTACTAGGATCAATTTTATTGAAGCGACATTGAGTACATCCAAACACGACCTATGCATTCAATATTAAATTGGCAACTGTTGGGCCTTTTAAAGGCCATGAGAGCATGTAAATATAATGAATCATATTGAATTGTGTACTTCAGGGGAAGTGTATAATGGTCGATTGACTTAAGCTTTGGCAGTCTATAGCCCATGTCATTTCCAAAACCTTTTTCCTTAGACATAAACACTAGTGTTTAAGGTTTATAGGGGGTCATCCCTTGTTAAGGTCAAAGATATGCCTAGAGATGTTATTTATAGGACAAAAGAGTTTCGTAAGCTCCTTTGTGCAGATATAGACTTGTGAGAGCAATGGTCAAATCTTCAACGAAACTTTTGCATAGCATTTGAATATGAGCGTTCCATTTTCGGTAGCAATTCTACAGAAGAAAACATGCTTATGTATATACAGAGCCCCCTTATACTATAATGATATGTGCATGTCACTTGCTCTTAAGGAAGAAACCTATAATTCACATACAACCACTATGGTTTAACTATTTATTGTGCAGTTTTGATAAGTCAATCATGAGCCCATACACATAACTTAAGATCATGGGTCCCGGTGCATGTGAGGTACCCTCGCAGTCATTTATTTTGATGTATTTGGTATTAATCCACTTCTAAAGGTATTTATGTGTGTTTTAAAAAAAATTAAGAACTTAAGAAATATTGTTTTAAACAATATTTATATTTATGCAATTTAAAAAAATATATAGGTAATTTTAAATTAATAAAAGACATAAAGGTTATTACTAGAAATTTTTTACAAATAAATATTTTCGAAATAATATTTAAAAGAGGTGGGACCCATGTGGGGGGCTAAGGCCTAGCTTCCACACGTACGGGGTCCTCATGATTTGCGATGTGAGGCCCACATGGGCCACACTAGCATCTCCTAACATGTGATGTACTGATTGGTGCCATACATGGCCAGTTCACATAAGTTTACTTTCTCTCATCTTATCTCATATTGGTCACACCTAAATTCTCTCGAATGTATTTATTTTGCATTATATCTGTTCTTATCTTGCTACTCATGTTGGGTGAGTGTGGCCATTAAAAGCTTTATGAGTCATTGTAAAATGAAATGATATAGTGGAACATGAACTCAGTGGGAGTGTAGTCCCTTGTGGAGCATACAAAACAAACGATGTTTACTGATACCAGGCTGAGCTTGATGATCTAGGCTAATCAGTTGGGAAAAACATATGTTACCTGGGTATAGAAAACTATCTGATAAAGGTTCTAATAAGTTATCCCTTGATGATATCGGAGTATGCCCGGATGAGTAAACTGATGGACTGTGTGACCCTCGTGTCTAATGGGGCCTTCAAAGATGGGGGTCAAAGCCTCATCCGCAAGGCATCATACGACATGTATAATAATAGTGGTTTCGGGAAAGTGGACCACCTTTTAAAGTGAAGCTTATGCATGTGCGAAAGATAGCCCTATGCGCCATAAGAGTTGTGGTCGCATCAGGTATAAGTGATATTGGAGAACCTGAAATCCACAAACTAGGATTACGGCCCCTTGGCTCATCGCCAAAATTTGGTGACCCACTAATGAGCCCCTACATGGACTGTGGATCGTTAAAGACATTGTGTCAGTTTGATAAAGCAACTGTGAACTGTAATCCACAGTTGAAGATAGAGTGCTTCAGCGTTTATTTATTAGATTCCTATACCATATGAATATTTTTCCCATCTAAGGAATTTAATTATGTTTTTTTTAATGATATATGATTTTTAGAATTATTATTTGAATTTTTTTAGATCTCTGGATATTTTATTTATCAAAATTTGGATTTATAAAAAACAAAAAATATTAATTTTATATTAATTTAAATATTCTAATTTGATTTTATGGATTTCTAAAAATCTTATAATTAATTTTAAAATTTTTTAATATTACATGGGAGGTCCCATATGTTAATGGACACACTATTACATGTGAGTAGGGACCATGAAGTACCACCTAATGTAGCACACCCCACCCTAATGAAACTTTCCTTGTGTTAGTCTAAGCTTTGGCTTGAAGAGAAAGCTTTGAAGTGTTTTGAAAAGATTTTGCCTTGAGGAAGCTTTTCAAAGGATTATTGGAAAGCATGAAAAGGCTTGTGCCTAATTTTGGTAAGCATTATATTATGAATGAAATTATTTTATTTAATTTCTATTGATGGGAAATGATTTAAGAATGGAGGATAAATGTTAGAGCACCTTTTATAATGTTAATGACTCATTTATGAAATGGATGACTCAAATGTCTCACCCTACAAGTAACACAAGATCAATGATTCATATTCAATCTTATAATAAGAGGCAAGCCAAGAAAAACCTTAAAAAACCCAAATATTGTTCAAACACTATAAAAAAGTGATTGATCCATACTCAAATCTCAACACCTCTCTTTCTCTCTCAATAAAAGTTTCTCTCTTATAAAAATCCGAAGGGGGGCACACCCCACTCTCTCATCTTTGATATATCTCTCTCTCTCTTAGTGTCTCTCATGATCTCTCATCTCTCGTTAGAATTTTAGACTATAACGTTGTGATAGACAAGAGAAGTATTTCTCTCAAACTAGGTTCCTAAGGGTTTGAAATTCGTGATAAAGGAGTTTATAGTTCCATTAGATGGCCTAAACTTGCTTTCTTGATTGAGATTGAAGGATGATCGTTGATCCCGTGCTATCGGATGGTAGTAACTCGGTGTGGAGTGTAATAAGTCCGGTTGAAATAATCTCCGACACTCTTTTTTTGTTTTTTGTCATATTTAATTACGTTGTCTTTATATTTTTAAGCATAAAAATTGTGGATATTTTTTTTATTTAAAGAAAATTGGTTTAATAGCATCAAGGTTTTTAAGAGCTTGGATTTATTAGTTTTATTTTCTTTGAAGCAAGAGTTATTGTAATAAAACTACTTGTAAGTGATATTTGCCAAAAGAAAAGAAAATGAAAAAAAAAGGAGTGAAAAGAAGGGAAAAAAAAAAATCTACCTCTTTTTTTCAACTCATCCATCTCAACATCCTCATCTCAACTACATTCATTTCATGGTTATGTTGTTTCTTGACTGTCCAACATTTTGGCAAAGTTGATCTCAAAGTGGTCATATAGAATTTAACTTTCAACGTTAGTGGTATGTAACGACCACATAAAACTCTAGTTGCACAGCTCCACTTTGTCTACCCAGCTTTAATCCTATGTGCAACATCTTCATCAATCTCTCTATTTTCTTGTATTATCGACTCAAGATATTAAAAGTGTATTTTTTTGATATTTTTACGTGAGTAATGATCCTATAGGGCCGTCCCCTACCCATGTGTGGAATAAAAAAGATCACTAAAGTTGGCACAGATCTCTAGAAAAGTTATCACATGGGTGTGGGGCTTGACTTTTCTATAAATCCATACCAAATTTAATCGTGATCCTTTAGGGTCCTACACACATGAATGGGGGAGGGTCCTATAGGATCATTACTCTTTTTATGTCGTCAGTCTTAACTACTTTGTCGTCTCTACTCCTACTATTACTAAACTTGTACACCATATAATATGTCTTAGTCCAACTAATTTTAAAAATTTTAGATTCTAAAGCATCATTTCAAAGTTCTAACTTTGTGTTGACAACGTTTTCAGTTTCATCTATCAAAACTATGTCATCTACAAACAAGCACTACGGTACCTCATATTGTAAGTATCTAGTTAAGTCGCCCATAACTAGGACGAAGAGGTGTGCACTCAATGATAAGCCCTTGATAGAGGGACACCCCATGTTTCCCATTAATTTGGGAATTTTTGTGGGGCCTACTTTTATTTAATAAAAAAATCCAAATTTAAAAAAAATGTCTAAAGATAATCTTAACGAAAAATTGCTTCAATTGGCATCTATGTTTTATGGAAAACATTTTAACGCAAACCAAACGTGCTTAAAAAGTCCATGAAAATAAACTTTATATGCCCAAAAAAACAACTCATTTGGTACAATATGAGAAAAAAAAACTTTAGGTGGATTACTCAGATTGGTTATGTAAATAATAGAATTAAATAACATAAGTAGAAAACACAAAAAATAGCCTAATGGGCTTGACATATATTATTGATAATCTCTTAGCAAGGGTTTGTATATGTCATGTAGTTTGTTGGGCATAAATTGAGTATCGTTTGCCATGTTGTTTTACGTCTTATGACAAAGATGCTTATATTAATCCACGAGTAGGAGTGATTGCGACGTTCTTATAACAAAACAAATGCTCTCATAGTGTAAAATCCTCATCGCTTATCTAGACGGGGCTCCCATAAAAGGGTGTCACAATTTAATTTATCCGCATATAATTCAGAGCATACACATATCGTAATGGAAAATATTTTGATAGGGCTGCAGCCTATCAAAAAACATAAACACTCACCTCATAACTCATTGAAAATTACAATTCAAGCATTGAAAAATCGTTATATCGATAATCTCAGCCTGGACATTATGGTTGTAAAAAAAACCTTAGAGTTTCAAGCTCTACAAATAATTTATATTATAACAATTTATCTAGACCGTCCATCTGCCCCTAAAAATAAGTATTCATGATTCCACAAGATTTGCACCATTTTTTGAATTGCAAATTTTGTTGTCGGTATTAGAAATTGATTTTAGAGCCATCATGGATATTTTCATTGCCGAAAGTGCTTTTTGGATAAGGATTTGAGGGCGTCATTTTGTTTTGATAAAGCTTAGGCCTTATAAGAACTTCATCCTTTCGTAATTTATAGTCATGCTACATGGACTATGCACCTTGCAGTTTAACATCATGCAGAGTGGATGATGCCATCACCTACATACCTTTTATGAGCCTGACAAATTGCCCATAGATGGGGGTGAGAATTGACTCAATTTGATCTGAAAACCAAATTTCGGACCCGATTCCGATCTGGGTATGGATCCAAATTTTGGATTCGAAATCTCGATCTAGACCCACAGGTCCGAATTGAAAATTGGATTGGATCCAGGTGCAGGTGGATCCGATCCGAATCCAACCTGTTTTTCTTTTTAAATAGTAATTTTTTGTTTTATAATATATATTTTTAAAATAGTATATATATAATCTGAATTCGGATCAAATGTATACTATTTGGATATGGATTCGAATATCTAGGATTCGGTTTGAACCTAGATGCAATCTGGAACCAATGTATACTATTCAGATCTGGATCTAATCGGATCTAGCTCCGATCGGACCCGTTCTCGCCCCTACCCATAGACATGCTTAGGTACATGAACCAAACAGAGCTTCATAAAAGATCATAACAATCTAATCTCATATTTTAGGAACTTCATGTAATGTTTAATTTAAACTCATGCACCATGGAGCATCACATGGAGCATACTTATATGAGAAAGGTTTCTATACTTCCCCTACAGCATAGAAGTTCTATCCTGCCTCTACCATCCAGCCGTCCAATTTTGATCAAGAGAGTCATTCACTGTTTGATCTTAGATCCGACGTTGCAAAGTATTTTATTTTTAGTTTTGTTTTATACAAATTATATGAATATGAAATTTGGTATGTGCCATCTTCTCATTGAGGCACACCTATAAAAATATTAAAAATAAATTTTTGATAAAATATAATGACCAAAATACCCCTTAAAACTTTCAAGGGTATTTTGGTCATTTTATTTTATTGAAGATATTTTTTTATATTTTTCACTAGTGCGAGTTTAATAGAAGAATGGACGTCCAAAACTTGGTGTTAAAATAATTTATAAAAAAAAAATTAAAAATAAAATAGTGTAGAGACGTGACATTGTGATTGGGGCAATCTTAGCCCTCCATTCATAATGGACGGTTCGATAAGGGGGTGGCAATGGGTCGGGTTGGGTCTGGGTCCGATTGGACCCGAACCTGATCCAAAAATTAAAATATCTAATACTTAACTATATTTAAATATGGAAAAAGCTGGCGTAGGCCCACTAGCCTACAACTACATGAGTCTAATGGTCCACATTCAATTTGGGTCGATCTGATGGTCACAACCTCATTTCATATTTAATTTTAATTTTTTTCTACAAATCCAAATCATATGAAATTTTAGGCTTCTATTCTTTGACGTATATAATAAAAATATTAAACAAATAATTCACAAAATATAAATTGATCAAAATACATTTGAAAAGTTTCGAGGGTATTTTGGTTGATATATTTTTTACAAAATATGTCTTTGATATTTTTATTAGATTTTCCTATTTTTAAAGAACACACGCTCAAAATTTCAAGTGATTTAGATTTATAGAAAAAAAAATTAAAATTAAAATACAAAATACATTCGTGATCATTGGATCGGTTCAAATTGAATCTAAGCCGTTGGGCTCATATGCAGCTATATGCTAGTGGGCCTTACACCAACTTTTTTCCTTTAAATATATCGCATATGTTGTAACTTGAAAAATATTTTAGGACCCAGACTCAGACCTGAACGAACCCGACTTGGGACTAGAATAGTGTTTGGGTCCAAGATTTGGACCCAAACCCAAGCCACAGGATCACCCAGAACTTGATCGGGTCTACCCCTTGGGTCCGGGTCCATTGCCATCTCTACCGTTTCCCCATAGCAATTAGCCAAAAACATATGAAGAAAATAAAGAACTAGCCCTAGAATGGCCCTCGGGCCTCAATTTTTGGCCCAATTTTTAGGGCCGGTTTGAGCTGTGTAGCCCGACCCATTACTATTCTCCTAATATCATATGCAACCCTAAAGTGCTCATTTTCTTGTTCAAAAGCAAGGATAGCAATAGACCTAGACCCGACCTAGGACTTGAGGGTAGACCTAATTCAGATTTGGGTATGGGTCCAAAAATTGGACATGGCAGGTTGGGTCTAGGTCCAAATCTTAGACCCAAATGCTATTTGGATTCGGGTCCACATTGGGTCAGATCCCCACCTGATCCATTGCAAACCTAGTAAAAAATAGCCATGTAGAAAAGGGCAAGCTTTCTATACTTCCCCTAGAGCATAAAACTTACATACTTCTCCTTATCCAACCGTCCATTTTGAATGGAGGGTTAAGATTGTCTCAATCACAATGACACATCTCTACACTATTTTATTTTTAATTTTTTTTATAAACTATTTTGACACAAAATTTTAGTCGTCCAATCTTCTACTAAACTCACATTAGTGAAAAATATAAAAAAAATATTTTCAATAAAATAAAATGATAAAAATACCTTTGAAAGTTTTAAGAGATATTTTGGTCATTATACTTTATCGAATAATTATTTTTAATATGTTTTATAAGTGCGCTCTAACGAGAAGGTGATATGTACCAAATTTTATATACATACAATTTGTATAAAAAAATTAAAAATAAAATACTTTACGATAATCAGATCTAAGATCAAACACTGCATAGCTCTTTTGATCAAAATTAGACGGGTGGATGGTAAGGAAGCATGGATCTTCTTCAAAGTTAGACGGGTGGATGGTAAGGAAGCATGGATATTCTTGGGGAAGTATAGAAAGTTAGAAACCTTTCCCTATAGAAAATTTATTCACGTCATTATCTGTCAACAATCTTATTGGGATGTCAACAATAAAAGCAAATGATGGCGCCCCCTTTTGCAATAGATTTTGCTCTTCTGGTTGCTTGTCTGTCACAACAATTTCATAAGAAAAACTACCGCTTCGATGGCTTAGATCGTTTTCCTTCCTTTCTTTTCACGGGAGTAAGTATTTTTCTTTCTGTCTTCTCCTTTTTCTCTTTCTTATTTCTGGCTTTACTGGAATTCACAAACTCCATGTTCTTGCCATATTTTAATGTGTTTCTGCGGTTTCAAGCACTACCCAACAAAGTTCGGACTGTTTGTTGCAATAAAAATGAATGGTTTGGTGTCCTGGGCTTGAAGAATACCTGCCCTTTTGCGCTAACTGTTATGGTTTGATGAAATTACAATTGGGTATTCGACTTTCTGTAATTTAATGATCTCTTTGAATTTGATGATTTCTTTTCCGTATGTTCAGAAATTCCTTATAAATTTTCAATTTGGTTGTGATAATTATTTAACTGGGGCTCAAAATTTTATCATTTGTAGTTAATTTCGACTGAACTGGGTTATTACGTAAATTATTTTTTCTTTTTGGTAATTCCGCCTGAAATTGGTTAAGAACATTTTGAATTTTGCATATATAATGTGCTCGAGCGTCAAACACTTCTGGCATGCTCCAATTCCTGTACTCTGAAATCACTATTAAATGGCCATAACCCACTTTGAAGAAGTTCATGAACCACTTTAGTAAACCCCTCCTTGCAACAATTCGGACTTGATTATGCTGCATAGACACTTTGAATATTGGATTATAGCTTTTCTTGGAAGAACTAAAAATGAACAAAACTGGGTTACTTGGTACTGTTCTCATATCTCATACCGGTTTTCTTATTCACTATATATTATTAACAATCTATGCAGTGATTAGATGAATTTTTTGGGGAATGAAGATGCCCTCTTTCTAAATTTAAATTTGAGGGTGGGGTATCTGTAAACATGTCTAGATTTCACTATTTTAATCAGTATGGTTTTGATGAAATAAGTGTTTCTTATCAGTAGCTTTAGCTTTTCCAATGGCTACCAAAGGGGAGGAGGCTGTTTGTTTTCAACAAATGCACTTCATGGAGACCTCCAGACCATGGCTAAGTAAGTTGCAAATGCAATAGTCAATGAAGAGTGACTTTTATTTAGTTCTTGTTCGTTTGGACTTTGAGGCTCTCTCTCTTTTGTTTATGATGTTCTCCTCTTGTATTGAATACTTTCTCATCTGTGATCTACCTTTTTTGTTTTGCGTTCGAAGTTATAATATACTTACGTTGGTCATAATGTGTGAATTAGATGTGCAGTTGTATGATATTCTTGGCTTATTGTGAAGTGAATGCCTTCCAATTTTTCGAGTTCTTATTCTTATGATCTAAGACTAATTTAATTGAGAACTGGGCTTTGACGCTGATGATGAATACATGGATGAGAGGATATCTTCTTCAACATGTATCATGAATATGATACCGTATAATTTAAAGCAATTTTGTCAATGTTTTGTTTCTGAATGGAAGCAAATGACAATGGAGCATTTATATTTTCTGTCATCCAAATCTTTTTAATCTCACACTGCTTGTGTCAATGGCCTCTTTGTTAGAAGTTGTATGTTAGGGCTAATGGATGCACATACAATGCATTACATGTACAACAGCAATATTGTTTCTTAGGGTTTTGAGTTCTGAGTGTCCAAACATTACGTACAACATTTCACGATCTTGCAACAAAATATACTAAGAACATTGGTCATTTCTTCAATTTCTCATGTTCTTTATTTTTTTGAAACATTTATATGATGTTCTTTCTCCAATTGAACATGTGGTCAATTGCTTTCAGCTAAGTACTCCTACATGAAATTGCAGATCTTCAAGTATGAGAATTGCCCATCTATGAAAAAAAATGGAATCACTGTTCTGCCCCACTTGCATGTGTGTGTGCTTAGGTGTTTTGATTTACAATTTTGATGCCAATTAAAGAAGGAAAACCAGAGAAAGCATGCAAATAGGAAGAACAAGTCCAATTCAATAATTGGAGTACTGAAGTACTTTCAGAGGGGATGGGTTCATGAATTTCCCGGATCAGAATTTTGCTGCTTATATGTTTCCAAAGGATTCCCACTGCTGGACTCGATGTGCCGATATGCCGAGTGAGGATTCTACTCCACGGTCTCCCTCAGGGAATATGTCCCCGCCTTGCTCGAGATATGTGAGAAGAGATGTCACACCTCAATGCCGGTATCGATGAATCTTGCTGATCAAGGTTGATCTGCTCTAAAGGGTAGTTTTTCTAGGTTTTTCTAGCTTTCCATCTTGGTCACTTGCTGTATTTTCCCACTTTGGTGTTTAGGGATTTGGGGTTTGCTTAGGGTAACCTAGGTAATTTATTTTTTAGGGATTTTTGGTATTTTTCTAGTTTTGGGAGTTTTGGATATTTTCTATTTTCTAAAATGTTCTTGGCCTTTCGGATTTTGGGTGAGGTTGGTTTGGGTATGGGGATTTGCTTCTCACTCTAGGTCTAGATTCCTACACTCTCTCACTAGCTTCTCTATAGTTTCTCTAACTAAAGTGCCTAATCCTTTGAAAATGGGGGTTCATGGGTTTATATAAAAGGCTTGAGAACATGGGAGTATAATCGATAGTGGGCCTCATTGGTGGTGGATTTATCAAAATCTGGCTCTAGCTACCCCAAAAATGACCATTTTGGAAGGGCCAAACTTGGGAAATTTCATGCATTTACCATTAGCTTCTCTCATACTGCCATCAAACCCCCTTTGTCTGATTCAATTTTCTTTGATTTTTGCTCAATTGTCGATCAAAACTTCGTGGAGAATCTTGTCATGATTGTTTTTCAACAAATTTGGATGAAAAACTCCAAGAGTTGAAGGGATTATGATTAAATTTGTGGATTTGGCATTAAAACTTGAAGAATTTACATACTTCTCTCGAATTCCTTCGAATTTTGCCCTTTATTGGCTATTATTCTAGGAGTCATTGTCAGAAAATTGTGAGGAATCATCCTTGCATTATTGGAGAAGAGATTTGGAATTTTGGACAAAAAACTCCACATATCAAGGAGCTATGATCATTTTATCGGCCTTTTTTAGAAAATTCAGCAGTTTCTACATTTTGGGCAACTTCTCTATACAATCCGGCCTCCAATTCGGTTTAAACCCCACACTGAGTTACATAGATTTTTAGTGGCTTGAGTGAAGATCATGTCTGCAAAATTTCAGCTCAAATTGCTTCACGGATTGTGAGGTATGAGTAAAAAAAGTGGATCAAGGTAATGGGGTCTGCTACACTTGAAACCGCATTCAATCCCCATACTTTTTCCTTCGGTCAAGCTATGATCCGTGTTAATAACCCCATTGACATCCTATATGGATGGAAAGCTCATGTGATGGGAAACAACATATCAAATGTTGATCTCATTTGGCCATGGGGATCGTCAAATACGATTGAATCTTTGAGGCCAAGAAATTCGTCATGTTGCTGGAAATTGTTCCTCACTGCTAGTGCATGCGCATAGTGTAGTACTTTCTTCTAAAAGCTGGTGGTCCTTGGATGGTCCACCAAAGACTCCTTCAAAATTGGCACTTCCCGATGTCGTATCGGGTTCAAATTCGGACTTCAGCTTTTGGGAATAGTACCTTTCTTCAATAAAAATTTTGGATTATTTGGTCCAGGATTTCTCATGGTTTCTTTGTAAATTTGGGTCAATTGGGGCTCAAATGCGCTCCCCCTATAATATTCAATTTCACGGGCTTATATCCTGATTATTGGATATCAGATTGACCTGATTTTTGGAGGACACACTCAGGGCATCTTAGGTTAAAGTTTAGAACCCTCAGATGACCATTTGGGGCGGGTTTGACCATAATTCATACTGGACTGCCTGTTCACAAGTTTGACCATGACTAGCTTGGATTTCTTTCATTTTTCAGTTGGGAGTTTCCTTTCCTCATTTTATTGGGGTCTCTGCCGATTTTGAGCCCATTCTGAGGCTCTGCTTTTATCAACTGTATCAAAATTCCTGTGATTTTTGCAACATTCTTACATTTATCCTGCTAGGAGCTTATTTGACTTGAAAATCCTATGCATTGTGTCTGTTGGGCCACTGTTTTGACTTATTTTCACATCTCCTCCATTTATGAGGCAACATAGGGCTCCTTGAAGTTGCAAAATGTGGAGTTTCACCTTTGTGGGGCCGTAGTCAAATTCTATGCTCTAAAGTCATAGCAACTATGCCTCGGTGATTTTATTTTCATGGAAAACATCCCCAAACAATCACGTGTATGTCTCATAGTATTCATCTTTCTTCCTGATTTCCTTGTTTTATTGGATGGACATATGGCTTTTTACATCTTACTGTGAGCATCTTTTTGTCATAAGAGAGGAAGGTTCAGAGACAAGGGATCTTATTTTTTGCATTACTTTGAAGCTTTATAAATATCTACAGGAACTACCTGGTCCAAAACTATGTGAGAAGATGGTTTGTTGTTTGGCTTTCCATGATTATTTGCATGTCCTTTTTATGGCTTGATTACAGTATTGTAACTTTGAGGTAGTTTTTATGCAATACAAATTAATCGTTTCTGGGTTTTTGTTTTATCGGTGGAATCTATGCAGTTGAACCAATTTGAAATATATTGCTAGATCTGATTATCCTTACTTGTTTTATATAGGTCTTTACGGGGTCAGGGTTCGACCTGGAAGTACAATTAGCAACCCTGATGTTGATCCAGCATTAATACATCGTTGTTTGCCAGATGAATTGCTTTTTGAGGTATTTTTTTGAGTAGTCATGTCCTATTATTTTAATGATGCTTTCAATTACTATTCTTACTCGTATGAGAAGTCATCTCATTGTATGTGCCGATTTTCCCTGATTTCAATTCATTTTGGTTGGCAAATGTTCAGCAACAATAAGCGGCTTATAATGCACGAACTATGGTCAAGTAATACATGTTATACTTGAGATGGTTATTTTCAAAAATTATTTGAAAAATGATTATGAAAACGTAGGGATCGGTTGTTGGAATGGGGCCAGGTGGCCTGGCCCGGCTAAGCCCTCTCCTGGGCTATATCATATTTGGCCCAAAGGCCCAGTGTAGGCCAGGGCTGGCACTACTGGGTTGGGCCTAGGCTGGGCCGCTTCAGTACAAGCATGTCCCATTGCCACCACTACCAGGGATTTGTGAGGCTGTCAAGGTTTTGGGTTGAAGGGATGGTGGATTATTTTTAGATTCTAAAACTGGTTTGGATTGGGCAACATTCTTGACATAATTGAATTAACATCTAAAATAGGTGATAGGATAAGTATTTGTTAAAACGTTCTGTAAAATATTCAGAAATTTGTACTTTTAATTCTGGGTATTGTACATGTCTTATTTTTTTAGCAAAGGCTCTTATGCTCTACACGCTAAATAGACTCTGTAAATGGCTTATGCACATCTATTGTTTTGGTTATTTTTTGGACTCGGGGGTTTGAGTCTGTATCCAAAAGTTATAGACTGGGAAGTTGGTCCAGGTCCAACCATGACCTAATGAAGTCGATCTGGTCTGAGTCGGGTTCAAACAGACCTTTAATTTCCCAACCCAACCTGACCCATTAACACCCCTAGAAACAGAGTCCCCTTGCTTAGCTAGGTATCTGCTGTTTGGTTGGCTTCTCTCGACGATTGTTGGAAGCTAACTCTATGGATACCGCTCAGATCACTTATCAAACAGCTTAAATCCTGCAAAAAGAGTCTTTGCCTCCAGCTACAGTTGCAGTCGTATTGCCAACTTGACCTGAAAAAGTCAGTAATTATAACTACCTCACCAATTCTAAAGACAACTCTGATTCTGGCCCTCCCCGTTTTATCAAAGTTTAATTTGCTGATACCTGGTTGGGGAACCGTTCAATTCTCTGACCTTGCAATAGCCATGTGCATAACTCCAGATGTTGAGAAAGATTGAAGCTCTTTTTGACATCTTGTCCAATGAATCACTGTGGAGCCCAACCTGTCCTTCATGTCTTGTATTTGGACTCCTTACCTTCGAATATTCTCATGTTAGGTCCCAGCCTTATCAACCAAAAGATTACCATTAGGGAGGCCTGCAACACCAGCGGGCCTGATGATGGGAGGGGTAATGTGAAAAATGCAGTGTAGAGTTGTTGAGTAGATTCAAAGAAAACCCACGCAATATCAAGTAGACTTAAGAGGAATGACTGGTGCTGGTTGTCTGCACGATGGTGAAGGAGTAAGTGATCTGCCTGTTCCTCCTCCACACAGGATATTGTCCACTGTAAGGGCTGTAAGGGTCAAATTATGCATCAGTAGCCAACAAAGAGCCTGATTCTTTGGGTCTGAGAGGGACTCTCCATGCCTTGCAGACCACAGATGGGGTGGCCTGGCCTGGCCAAAGCTGGTTACAGAAAGAGAGACTGGAAAGAGCCCTGATTTAGCTGGCTCCCAGGTCATTTTATAAGTGTCAGGTCAATGGATAAAATGTGATTTGAGAAGTAACAGAATACTTCTAGCTCAGAAATTTCTGCATCAGTCAGGTCCCTACGACATCTTTGAGACTGCCCCAATTGCCCCCCAAGCATCTCGTATGAGTATGAGTGGTGCATTCTTGGTCAGCAGCTACCAATAATGGATTAGGGAATTGAGTTTCCACCTTTCAATCACACAGCCATTTGTCTTTCCACAACGTACAGTTCCTGATTTTGGCTGAGAACTTATTCTCTCTGAGAAAGCAGGAGTACCATAGTGATACATTTCCAAGCTCCCGATGCTCTAGCATTTGTAGCAGTTTTAGGCAGCAAGCTTTATTCCTTACGGCCATGTCTATGTTGGACGACTAACTTCGAAGGTGATCATCCTGCGTGGCATAGAACCACTACCATTTGCCTAATAGAGCAGCATTCTTTTATCTGCTTGAACTGACTGGTTCCCAAACCACAATCTTTCTTAGATGTGCATATTGCTTCCCATATCATTAGGTGATATTTGTGACCCCCTTCTGCCACTGACCATGGGAAGTTTCTCATTAGTTGCTCAATTCTTTTAGCAATAGATATCAACCTCCTAAATAAAAGAGCTGGAAAACAGGGATATTAGAAAGAGTTGCTTTAATCAATGTGATTCTCCCACCTAGGGAGAGGAAACGCTCTCACCAAGATGCCAATCTTCATGCGAATCTCTCCACGACCCCATCCCATTGATGCTTTCTCGGTTTGCTTATTCCAAGTGGCAAGTGCAGGTACTTATTATCAAATCTACCCACACCGAAGTCTTTATGGCACCCCACAACTGTTCTGGATCAGCCCCAACTCCCATAAGCTTGTTCTTGTTCATGTTGATCTTTAGACTTGTGGCAACTTAAAACAGCACAAGAACAACCATAGGTTATCAACTTGCTGTGTCGTCGATGTACTGTAAATACAGTTCCATCCTTGAATTGAATCCAGTGATGTACCCATGGTTTTAGACATTAGAAGATGGAAAGGGGGTTAGTGCATCTCCATGAAGCAGCCCCTGGGAAGCTAGGAAGAATCCATGGGGGTCCCACTAATCAGAACTGACAATGTCGCCTATGAGATGCATCCACTGATCCATGATCTTCGTTCATGGCGAAAACCATTATAGTTTGGACATGGTCCAATTCCCTGAAATCTTTTAGCTCTAGTGCCCCTTTGATTTTAGACACCAGGGCAGTGAATGTGGAGTTCATCCCCTTATTAGTGATATACTCCTCTAGAAGAATTCCGAGGCAAAATCTAGCTGGTCAAAGGCAACAGTGTCCCAGAATTGATGTAAAATTCCCATGGGAAAGCCCTTGTGGATAGGCGCTTTATCCTGGCTGAGCTCTTTCACTGTCCCAACGATTTCAGTCAGTGAGAGAGGAGGATCCAGGAAGTTGGCTGTTGCCGCTGTTCTGCTGACAGGATTTTGAAGTTAATCTCGCTCATTCTTTGCATCTGCCTGGAACAAGCAGTGAACAAGTTCTGAAAGTATAGACTGATGACCCTGCTAATTACTGATGCTTCCTCTATGTATGATCTGGGTAATGGCATTAGATCTCCTTTGGCGGTTAGCTATCCTACTTAAGAAAGCTGTTTTTGCATCCACTTCTTTGAACCATTTTACCTTAGATCTTTGATACCAATAAAACTCTTCCTGTTTGAGTAACTTGTGGAATCTTGATCTGAACTCAGAATCTCCTATTCCTTTCCTCCTAAGATAGGTATCTTGATTTCTCAGTCAAACTTTCAATATCTAGAAGCATGTCCTTGCACAGGTTAGGTAGCTCCACTTTTTGAGCTTCCTTTTTAACATTTGGAATTCTGTTAACAATCTAAACTCGGTAGCCTGCCCACCCAAAAGATAGAGAATAAGGACCTCCAGGAAGGGATAAAATGATGCAACTCAGCCTCATGTAGCCAATACAATTCAAACTGAGAAGTTTTGATATTCCTAGAAATAGACTTGCTCTCAAAAAAAAATAGGGGTGTGATCTGATGTCGATTTGGGATGGATTCCAGAGTTAAAACCCAGGAAGAGATCTTCCCACTCATGGGATTTGAAAAATTCATCAATTCATTAGGGGCTCAAGGCGTGGTTGGACCACATAAGGATGCGCCTGACAGGCCCTGATCTCTAAGTTTCCTCCTATAGATAAAATCAGAGAACCCATCATACTACTTCAATAGAGAATTCCATCTATCATTTGCTTTTCTACTAATGAAAGTTTTATACCTATTTTTTCTATCTTTGTTTGAAACTATGTATCTCTAAGATCCATTGAAAGCTGATATGGAAGGGATTGCTTCGTCATTGATCAAAATTTCATAGTCATGAAGCCAACATGAACTGGATTGCTATGTTATTCATAAAATATTTCACAATATGTGAGTGTGTATGTTTGAACTGTGAGTGTGTATGTTTGAACTATGCTGCACTTCATGATTATAAAATCAGAAAGCATAGAGTCATCATCTGTTCATCCTCGCTCAATTAATAATGCAGCTTAAGATGTACTAGTGAATTTAATTTGGGAATATTGAAGCATAGGATCTTCAAACGACAAAGATATTTGTCTTATAATGTAAACACTCATGTCCTATGAGGTACTAATGTCTTTATCGCCATCGTTGATCATCAATTTCAGATATGTTGGGTTCTTACCTCGTGTTGTTCTCTTCCTCAAGGATGAGAACACTACTGATCTTTCTTTGGTTTTTTCAACAATTCTTTCCCTCAAGTTTGTTTAGACTTGAGTCATTTGACCAACTGACAAACATGTGAAACAAGGTTTAAAGATTCAATAAAATAAGACATAAAACTCGGTAAAGATTTTGAAGTCTAAATATAGAGCTACGACAAATTCTAGGCTAGAGCTTCAGAAGTAGGAATTTAAGATATTTAATGTTCGCATTTTTTATATTTTGTGCACTAGGGCCTGAATTTTTATGGTTGCCATGGAGCTTGCTTGCACCGCACCCTTTGTCAAAATATCATCAAGATATATATTATGTTCCGAATGGGGTGGTTATAAACCAAGTTCCCCCATTTTAAGAGGTACCTTTGGGATACTGAAATAGAGGAGCACTGAAATATGCTAAGAGTGCCTTAAAAAGGCATTTAAGTCTACAGAAGTAGGGTGTTTGTTTGATTTTTGGCCACATTCATTCTAGTTATGATTGGTCGCATGTTTCTCCTCACCTTTGGCTAGTTTGCGCCCTCGATTACGGATCATTTCTGAAAAGGAGGATGTAAGCCTTGAATGCGTTACTTG